CAGTATTGGTCCAGAAGAAAATTCTAGACTGGGTATCAGTCTATTCTTATAATAAACGTAGGTTAGGTTAAAAATCTCTTGAACTTCAGAAACGTTTACCACTTTATTGCCATCTTTCTTAAATTTATGGAATACAGTCTGTTTGAATCCCTTGCAGTTGCATATTTCCTCTCAGGAAGGAATTTGACCTGTTTACACAATTTAATGTTTTTCTGACATCGTACTAATCTCAAGTAGGGCTGAACAATTTTGCCAAAAATCCAAATTGTGATTATTTTAAATCAATATTTCTTTTGCACTAAGCCCAAGCATGTAGATTTTTAACTCCAGGGTTTCAGTTTTTAATGACCTTAAAGGTTGCCGGTCCAGAGTCCAATGTTGTAGGACCTAACTGTAACCTTTGCAAGAAAAAGTTTTTACTTGCACTACTGTATAATTCATGGATCTGCACACTAGCTGCAATTCTATCTTCTGTTATGTGTGGCAACAAACCCACTTTAAGTGTCATACTGCCACCTTAATGGGCTTGAGTGAGAAATTTAGTGCATTGCCCTTGTTAAATGTAATGTGACTAAAATAGAGAATTCAATTTTCAATTTTAAAATGCATTTTTCTATATTGTGATTACAGTAGTAACCATTCAAAATTTCCATTCTTTCCTTTATGGGCCCTTGGCTGGCCCCCTTAGATTCCTTTTTTAAACATCAATCTTTGTACTAAAATATTCTTTCTGTCATGATTTGTGGGGATTGAACCGGTTCTAAAGAGAAGCGCCTTCTCCTGGTCAGACCCTGTTATTAACCTTACAATTAAGGTTGTAAGGTTGGAGTCCAGACTCCAGTGACTGGAAGTGGGCTGCCATTTGGCTGGCTTTTGACTGGGAAGGGCGATTTTGAATGGCTGCTGCCGCTGCTGTGTATTGCAGATATAATTAATTTACCAGCCCTAAACTCAAGCTGCAACTCTAAAAAGATATTGGAATTGGATCGGAAGTAAAAAAAAGAAAAAAAAATGTGGATCTGTGCATATCTAACCAGAAATAGGAATGGTTTCTTATATGGGACCACACGGGCCAATCTAATCACTCCACCTCTTTGCTGCACATGGCATTGTTACTTGGACCACTCTTCTTAAAACTGACCACTGAACACCATGACCAACACACCAAAGCTGCAATTTCAGAGAAGCTCTTTGTTCCTGTGTGGCCACCATTATTTAGCACTAGTCAAACCCTAAGACATGTCTATTTTTCCACAGAATATCAACTTTGAAAACAAAACGTTTTCTTGCTAACTAATATTACCAGCATATCAACAGGCATCATGAACTTTGTGTGCTCATAATTTTGTGTTTGATCTCTGTATTTTATTTCATTAACATTTTGATACAAAACTCTTTACTGTTTTTGTAAAGAAGTGGTATCATGATAATCCTGGAGAGTCCATTACAGTTTTCTTTTCTCTGTGTTGTGTTAGACTTTCCGCTCTCTGTTTAGAATCCTTTGCATTTAGTGAACAACAAAAACTGCTTTTGTATTTATGGTGAGAAAATGTAATTCCTCGGTTATCAAACTACATTAGAATTTGTGTTATAAGAACTTCTCAAACACAAATAGAAGTCCAAAAGTTCTTAAACAAAGTCCAAGAAATACCATTTTAGTTGTATTTGTTTATGCTGTTTCTTTAAGACTAAAGATTTACTTCTATAGTGTGAAATCTATACCAGAAAAAAGGTTTAAAGGTTTGTGAAATCTTTAAACCTTTTTTCAAGGTGATAAACTAAACAATATACAGTAATATACCATAATTTGACATTCAGGGTTCATTAATTGTCATTATAAGGTCTACCTTGCAGTACTAAAACTTCCAGATAATTGGATCTTTACACTTAATGGTTTACACAATCTACTGCTTAAAAAAAACACCCAAGTTTGGAAACATGCAGCTGAGACTTAACATATCATAAATGTGTCTCTGCTTTAAACACCTTACTCTAATATAAGTTAATTAGCATAACTTAACTGCTTGAGGTGTATTAGTTTAGCTTTTGGATTCAGGTGTGAAGGGAAAGGGACACATATAAAAGTAGCAGGACACCAGCTGCCAAGGCTTTTAGTGTGAGACCCATGCTTTCTATGTCTCACTAACTGTCTGAGGCTGTAAATGCAGAATATCCCACTAGAGGTCGCTTTGAGGCAGTCTCACCGAAACATTGAGGTTGCTCCAAGGGATTGAGTCCGAGCTGTTATATTCCGTTAGGTTCAAGTTCTGCAAGGACTGATCAGAGATATTGGCTGGTGGAGAGCACTGACACCTGAGGACAACACAACAGACAGTAAAGCAGCATCATGACTCCATGAAACAGGCTTATTCAGGAGCGCTAGAACTCCATCTATCTGTAGGATTTTATTGTTTATCTATAATTATAATATATTTATCCAAAGAGAAAGTTAACAGTTTCCAAGGAATCTAAGTGCAGAAAAACATTTAGGTTATGAAAATATTATCACTCACGAGTAAAAAGTAAGATTGTCTAAATTGTTGTGCATGTTGACAGGGTAATGTTTTCCGAGATGAAATAGCTTTTCAAGGGCCTCGTAGATGAATATTATGCAAATGAGAGCTGCAAAGGCCTCCTCTGTGAAACGAGTGATGTAGCAGACCAGGGAGCTTGCATCTGTGGCTACCAGCACAATACACAGGAACGCCGTCCACAGTCCAATGCTGGTCCGTAGTGATAGGTAGGATAGACCATAATCACTGGAGAAAAAGGAAAGGAAAGACCATGGAGGGTTAAAAAAATAATCAAATATAAGAAAAAACTTAACTAATCATCAAAATAAAACTAATTAATTAATCATGAAAACCCACACTCACCTACAAAATTTAAATAGGATCTTTTCAAACACTAAAACAGGTCCTGTGCTGCCAAGAATTGTGAGAGGTTGTCCTGAGAAGAGTGAGTATGCCACTCCTGTCAGTGATGCTCCGAAAAGAGACTCTATTGCACTCTGCAGAGACAGAGGAAATGGGTGGAGTAAGGGAGTAAAAGAGATTGAGGGGAAAAGGAGGCCCTGAGCAGAAATAAAGAGTTTTAGTCAAACATAATTGATATGCTGATTTTGAGAGCCTCCACAGTGTTGAATGTTTCCACATGGCTAACTTGTCCAAAGTTATGTTTCTATGTTGCTCTTGACCTGCTAATTTTACTCAGACACATTACACATTCTAGCTGAAACGCTGTCTGTGCCAACAGTGACTGACCAGTAAGGGCATCTGGATAAAAGGAAGGGAGGGAGGGAGGCAGAAAGAGAGGGAAAGGAACACTGTAGTGAACACTATCTAAATCAACTGCAGCATGCTCTGTTACTGATAATCTAATAACTAAAAATAATTTTGTAGTACCATCCTATGGTTTCCAGGACCTCTGTAACTGTTCACATTCAGTTAGACAGGATTAGAAACCATATCAGCTGCTGGTAAATGTCCTTCTCATCACCAAGAACATGAATAGACTTCTGTTTGACAGCATTACAAGAAGTTTTGCTTTTAAAATCCGTTCTAAAAATCTTGCAACTCCAATCAAACAACCAGCAAAAGCACAATTTGAAATTGTGGGGAAACTTTTACACCTGGTTTCAAATTTTTAACTGAAACTCCTACCCTTCCATCTCTATGGGCAGAGGCCTGAACATAGTTTTGTATTTTGCCTATCTGGAATAATTTATTGTTGTTTCTTAGCTACTTAGTGTGTCCAAGCAGTGACTGGACACAATGTGCTTACAACTGAACCATCAAGACAATATGTCCAATTATTGGGCCCTTTGAAAGACTTGTGTTGGTGTAATGGCCTTGAAAACTCAACTTCAGATTATCTGGTGCACCAAGAACAATATATGACATAACGCATCTTTTTAAACATTTCCAAAACCCAATGGAAAATATCAGTGTTCTTGTAGATTCTCTGAACTGTGGTTTTGTTTTAATCTGGTGTAAAAGAGGCCTTACAGCAGTGTTCTTTCCACTGCAATCATCAAATACAAAATATTTTTGATGAGAAACAACAGATCGGACCACATATTCAGTAGAAGTGTTGGTTCTGATTTCAAAGCTCAAGAAAAAACTTTTTTCTCTCCCATCTTAACAGCACAAGGCTAATAAAACACTGTTTCTTTCTCACTGGCTAAAATACTGACTTTCAAGTCAGTACACTGTGCTTTGTGACTCACTATGTTGCCTTTTGTTGCCTCTCCAAGCAGACCTCCAAATGTGATGACAGGTGACATGCAAGCGCAGTACAGAAACAGGATGGAGGCTAAACACTGAAGATTAAATGAATCCTTAATGTCACTCCAGTAGAAGGGAGCTTTCCGCTTTACATCTAGGAACAGACCTCCAAAAATCCTGGAAAGGAAGAAAAGTAGAAAGTGTTCAGAATTTTACAGTAACAGAAGATTACATCGTCTTAAAGCGGCATTTAAAAACTACAGCAAAGCCTACAGAGTGTTTTTAGATAAAGATTTCTTGCTTTATAGTTGTTTCAATCCCCTCACAAATTTCAAGACAAAAATCTGTGTGAATATTTAACTGAATGTATTATACCTCAGAGTCAGCAGTTGCTCTCAAGGAGTAGCTCTTAGTAAATTTTATTGATAGCATTTTTTTATAGTTACATTTGTTTTGATAATTTATTGGGAAAAGCAGATTAAACCAACAAGTGGAATAATAGAAACAGTTTCTGCTTTTCTCAAGTTTCCTTTGAGGGATTCTATTTTTAAAAATCATTTCTCACCTAGAATATTTTTCCCTCAGACACCTGTCCAACAGATTCTGATGGGAAGTCCTTTTTCCTTTTTGTACCCCCACACCTCTGGATTAGCTTCTATATTCTGCCTTCACATCCCCTGCTGCTTTTTTAGAGCAGCACAATTCTCTGTACCTTGGCTTACTGCACTCAGTTTCCCTCAGTTTTCCTCCTGTAGTGACCTTCATAGCACTAACCTTTTATAGTAGTGAATAGAAGCAAAGTAATACTGTAAATAATACAGCGCCTTCTGATAGATGTGAATGTGTGTATCACTCTGTGTGACGTTTTTAAACAAACACATCCTTTTTACTGTGTGGCTCTGGGGATTCAGAATCAGTAATCCATAAATGTCAGCAGTAGATTTACGCACAGAGTGCAGGTTTGTATCTGTTTAGACACACATCATTATTTAATGTGTAACTCTTGCCTTTAAAGGAAATGGGTGATAGAACTAAGATCTTTGACAAAGGATCTAATTACCACATATCAGCACTTATTAATTTGTTTCTAATCCATTTACCTGGATATATATATATAGAATAATATTTTTTTAAACAGTAAGCACCAACATTTAAGCAGCAAATGTTGCAAAAAAAGAAAAAAATATCCATGCTACCCCCAAGTTTTTTTTAAGTTAAAACACAGTATTAGAAATCTTTGGTGGCAGTTATTGGCTCCCTCAGTAATCCCTTTAAATAAATGTAATTGAAGCATTCTGTGTTTAATGTTATTGCTTTTCTATTTTATCAATGTATACTTTTTTATTAGCAGTCCATGAATTCCTCTTTCCCTGAGGTAGATATGTGATGGAAAAAAATCATATTTCACTTAGCCACTGCAGAATAGTTAAAACAAGACAGAAAACCAACACATCTACATTAAAATAGGGAACATTTGCCGTGTCTTCTGTTTGGTTCACTAATGTTAGAACACCTAAAATAATACATTTAAATTTGTGAGGTAGGCGGTGAAATATGAGGGAGAGGAAAAGTTTTCTCTACATTACACTATTTCTTTGGGTGTTTGATATTTTTTTTGTACATGAAAAAAAAAAAAAAAAACGTTGAGTTTCATCTTCCCACCAGCTTTATACTTAGGTCCTTACAAAGGCTTTCAAATTGGAGAGAAGCCGTTGTTGGACTCTTTTACAACATTATTATTATTTCCAGTAAAATTAAATATTATGAACAAACTAAAACATTATTAAAAACAAATCTTCCTATGTTACATTATAGGCATGAACCTAAACATTACAATTAAATTAGTAGACATTAGAAATCACAGATGTTCTCATTTAATGCTTGAACATATATAATAGCTCTCATAACAATCCAGTTTTCTTTATTTCCTTGAGCTATTTCAATGATACATTAATATATTCTTGCAGAGCGGAAAAGTGCATTACTAACCTCCCTGTCCTTTGAAGCTCAGGTCCTGTATGGTAATCATCCTCTTTCTCCTGCTCTCCAGCTGGAGGTGCACTGCCGTTAGGATGCGATGGTCTCTTCCGCTTTGACTACAGGTAGAGCAATTGAAACAAGTTATCATTAGCTTTTGTGCAGCTTTAAGGTGAAAGGAAAACTTTTGAATACCTTTTGAATACAATGAGTAGCCTTTTTAAGGCTGCACTAATGAGTAATTTTCACGAGTAAACAATTTCTATACCTACATCTACCAGAGTTTTTAATCATTAAGATTATGCTATACACAGAATTTTTTCACTAAATATTCACTGTCCCAAACAAACTTTAAGCTTTGTACTAACCTGAGATGGGACATTCTTCGGGGGCTCGATTCGGATGGTGGGGTCCCATTCACCAGGGGGAAGGACAGTCACCTGATCAAGGAACTCATCTATTCCTGACAGCAGATCTGTACGGTCCTTGGCTTTATAAGCCACATCATGGAAAATCTACAGACAAATCAAATGAGGAGTTACAGCTGTGCAGTAATAAATAGGAATAATATAGACGGGTGCATAAAAAAGCAGATTGAAAATCATTAAATATTACAAAAAAAATAAAATATAACCCATTCAAACCTCATCTGTCATTAGCGTTGCCATTGATCTGCCGATTTCATGGTACTGTGGTCCTTTACCATGTGGACCCAGAAGAAGAAAAAGAAACCTTTCCACAGAAGAAACATTTATGAATAACACAATATCAGCCCTTCTTAGAAGATAAAGTCTATCAGAAATATGCATTATCTCCTTTTTTGACCCAGTTGGTAAAAATATGTGGTAAATAAATAACATTTTAATTGCAACAAACCACAACTGCTTTGGCATTTTGACACAATGATTAAGAAACCTAATAAAATTGTCTTACTGATCAAATTGTTGTCCTGGGTAAACATTTCTATGTTTGTGTTGCTGAAGGTCACCTAACAAAAACTGTAAATGTCTGAAATATATCACAAAATCTACAGCAAAAAAGATAAACTCAAAAACTTGGTACCATTCTCTAATAATGAACATTGGTTCCACCGTTATTTGTTATAGTTTCACAATCGTTGCTTTGAATTCTGAGTTGGCCATTTTGCTCTCTCGTTTTCCTGATGTATAAAGATCAACAATCCTTTTAGACATCTGAATGGTGCGTCTTCCTGTCTTTCTCATTTTGAACAGTGGGAGAGAAAAGCTGGCTTCAGTGTTCAGACACATTAATTGAACTGCAGAAAATGTGTTCCTTGACTAGCAGGAAATTTGTCAAATTGAAGGGTTATTTTCTAAAAGAATTTATTTATACTTTATAGGAATTGTTACAGTCACCAGAGTGGGAATATCTAGAATAAAACCTTTATTTTTTTACCAATATGATTACATGTAATCGAGTTAAACGTTTTCAGAGAAAGATAATGCTAATGAATCAAACCTTGATCTGATTTTAAAGCTTTACTCACATTCCTGTAAATAAACGTAGAGAGGACTGTGGCTTAATGTGAGTATTCTAAAACATAACTTTGTTACTTCCATCAAATATAAATACAGGACAAAGTGGTAGACAAAATAAACATTTGGAAACACGTCTATCCCCTTAATTATTTCATAAAATGTTTACAGTAAGTTTATTTAGTAAGCCATCCTGACTTTTGGAAGCAGCAGTCTATGGAATCAAGTGTCTATTTCTAGGAGTGAAAGGCAACAATTTTCAGATTGCAGTACCTTGTGGGAACTGGCACCTCAGTGAGACCTGTGATGAGGACTGCTGGGGATAACCGTACAAATGCAATTATGGGTTTCTCTAAAAAGTCCACTTCTCCAACAAGCACATTGGAGGCCTCAGCACCAGGAGGAATCTTTTTCATGAAATTCATGTCTACCTGGAATACAGAAAAGGTCAAATCAGAAATACAACTTATAAACTAATAAATAGAAACACTGGGGTGGGGGTGGTCATGCAGAATGAAACCATGGAAAAAAATATATTTTTACAAAACGGAGAACAACAGATAGACCTAAATAGTACTGAGCAAAGATTGTCCAAGTAATGCAAGAAATATCATATTCTTTAAATATCTATAATTTTTGTGTGGTGTATAATTCTTTTTTAAGCATGGCAACAATTCTTCTGTAGAAATGAAATGCCTTCAATCCTCTTTCCTATGACTCATGTACATACTGCACCTTATTTTTTGGCAAGCATAATGCCTGGTTGTATAACAGCAACTTATGGCAGCCTGCCATTTTATTTAATGGATGATACACTGCAAATGGCAGGATGAATGAAAGCCATGGAAGAGAGGTGGGCTATTAAAAAGAAAGACTTATATAACAACCGAAGACTTTTTAACTCTGTGGATTGATTCTCTGTCCATCGGATAATAATCGGTGACAACATACTTGCTTCATAGGCGAGAGGTTATGGAATGTTGACCTTTTTAAGCACAACTTTAAACAAAAGATTGAAATGTCTGAGCCAACCAAGAAAAAGACGAAAAACATGGATGAACTTGGTAGGAGGCATTCCATCATGATGGGACAGTACCTGTGCTCAGTACTGGGGTTAGGTTACCTTGCTAAAGTCCACACTGCTGCTTTCTCTACTGACCCCTACTTTGGACGGCCTCCTCTCCATTATCTTATTTCCATCCAGATTGTTTGGAAGAGAGTGGGGAGATGCCATTGGTCCTAAAAGAGATGGAAAGCAATAATGAACAGTGCATAAGCGTGGAACATATGAGCAAATTACTAGACTAAAGTAGATTTAGTAGTTTAGCATTCAATGTAATTTGTCATGCCATTATTAGAAGCCAGCTAAAACTGCCTTCTTGTCCTATGGAAAAGTTAATTTTTTTGATAAATATAAACTTTGGGTATGAAGATCCCCCTCTACATTACAATCAATACTTTATTGCAGCACCATAACATCATAATCATATGTAACGCCTTTTGGCACTCTGCTCTTAATGCCCCTTTATAGCAACCTCCTGTAACGTTGCTCCTGAGCTATTTTTATCTTGAGCTATCGCTATAGTTATGCTGCTATAGGCTTAGACTTCTGGAGGACATAGGGACCCCTTTTTCATCATTCTGCTTCATTCCATCTCTATTCTCCCACTCTGTAAAATATCACCTGGATAGAAATATAAGCTGCACTGCTGCCATAAACACCTTTGTTTATAGATGTTCGAGATCTGCCTGTTGTTCAGTGTAGTCCTGTTTCTCTAACTGTGACTGGCTGGATGTGCTCTCTTCATCCTAATGTGGCATTACTGTGCAATGCCACATTTTCATCAGTGGAAATATTATTTCTGAATTTCCTTATTTTATTACAGCATATTTTTTTCTTTCTGATGATTGAACAATTGAACAGATGGATGGCTGTAGTTTTGTAAAATATTTCTGTGAGAAATTATGCTGCTGCAGTAAATCTTGACCTGTAACAAACAGTAGCTTGAGCTCAACAGTCGGACAGCATTTCCTAACTTGATTGAATAAAAGGAAGAAGGTCTACTGCTAAGTGTGAATTAGTATTTGATTTTAGCTTTGATATTAACACACGTAAGTAGATGGCATTAAAACTCCTGAAAATGCAATTCTTACATACTTCTTTAAATGAACCCTTTAAAATGTCTTATATCATTAGAGCCATACCAGATCCAGGAAACTCTAGCACTCAAGATGACATGAGAGAGGGCGATGAAATGAGGGAATAATGTACTGAATCAAAGGATAGCACAAGCCTATCCTCTGATTTCCTTTCTTTTACCAGGTTTTTATTTTTTTTGTTTTCATTCTTTTTCCGAAAGCACATGGATTCAACTTTAAAATTCCACTTCAAATACAATTTTTGCCATTGATCTGTATCCTAGAGTAACCCCAGTGGGTGCTAGGTAACTTGTACTGCTGGACAGAAGCATGATTGCTCATAAACCCGACAAAGCCTTTAGGAATATATGGTGGATTATCATAGACAGTGTCTGCCAAAAGAACCACATTCAGGAGCACTAAGCCCTGGAATGCTCCCCCATACCAGCCTTTCAAACTGTGGCATCATTGTACAGACTCACTCATATACAGAACAGTTACATCAATAAAGGAAGATACTATATACATTTTTTGAAGCTACATTATTGTAATTTTATATATGTTTTTATACTTATTTTGGAACACATCAAAAAGTCATAAAAAGCCATGAAACATTTCTTTAGACCACTTAAAATTTTCCCCATTTGGCTAAGTTACAACACAAACGAAGCTGTTGCTAAAAGAGAACCATAGGAAGTCCCATTTTGAGTGCCACAAATCATGGTGAAAACGGCAGAAGAGGGTGCTCTTCTGAGCACCCTTTTAGAACTAAAACCAGAAACATATATGTGGAAAAACACAAACACAAGACAACTATCTAAAAAACAATGTCCCAAAAGGAAAACCTGGTGGTGCCACCATCATACTGTGGGTATGATTTTCTTTATCCTGGGGCAAGAAAGTTACTCAAAATTGATGGGTAAAAAGACAGAGCTAAATTCAGGGGAAATAAATATATTAATTATTAATATAAAAAATATTTTTAGAAGAGTATATATACAGCATTTTACTACTAATCCACTCTTGCTGATCTGCACCCTTCCCTTGACGATCTCACCATCATAAAATCTATAGGACTGGCCAAATCTGATTTGCTTTATGTTCTGATCCTTAGAAGTTAATGATCCACCAGCTAAAAGAATAAGCAAAGCAGATACTGCAGCGAAAAATAGACTATTTCACTTAAACAGAAACGTTGTTTGAGATAAACCAACCAAGTCATTATGTTCCTGCAGCCTAACAATTTATCCTTTCCTAATATATCCAATCAGCTGGCAGGGACAATAAATCATATTTTAATTCATATTCTTCATTTCAACCATCAGGAATTTAAAAGGCGTGGATAATCTACCATTTAATCCACTGTCAGTTGACAACAGGCCACTTTTTCAAACACTTATGACGCGATTAGAAAGATCTGAAATCTTCCACTGAGGTTATTTCTACATAATGAATGTGAAGATCCCTGCCTCTTCTTATGATACCATTCCTAGAGTGGGCTACAGTTACGAAAGCTGGTTAGCTATAATAAGATCACCCCAACCTTTCAGTTTCCCAACACACTTATTAATGACCTATGCTTTGAAATGGAGCCATATGCATACATACAAACACACACACACACACACACACTCTAATAATAAACTGTCATGGCCCAGTTTGGGTAGAACAAAACACCACTGTAGGTGCAAATGTGATGGTACATACAGTACCAACAAACCAATCCAAATAGTAGGATATTTTTGGCCATACTGCTGGTACACTGTCCTCCCACAACATTCTTACTCAGGTAAAAGAATTTCTTATTCTGAGGAACTGATGAGGATGAAATGAATGAGTTCCAGATGATGCAACAGAGTATAACACAAACAGCATGGACAATTTGCATGAATTAAACGTCATACAAAGGTATGAAAAAGAAAGGCATACAACAATATATATATATATATATATATATATATATATATATATATATATATATATATATATATATATATATATATATATATACATACACACATATAATATAAATCGTCAAACCTATTCGGCCGTTTTTCATGTAGTTTTGAACAACCGTGCAAAAAAAACCATAAAATTCCTGTACTATGGTATATTGAATGCTGAGAATTAGCATCTACCCACATTAAGATAAAGATCCGTTGTTTTATTTAACAATATGATAGATTTTTTTCTAGAGTTTGTTTCTTATGATTGTTCTCTTTTTGTTTTCTACATATTGTAAATTTATACCCAGTCTTACATTATTATCTGAATACATAAAAACCAATTAAGTTCTGGCTGCTATTTCTAGAATAAAAAAAAAAGTGTGGTGCGATTAAATTATCGTGTTTACAAAAGCAATGTGGTTCTATTTGTTTGTTTTTAGTTTTAATTATCCTACTAGTTTTTCTCTCTTGTATGCATCGTTACGTGCACCCCTTGCCAAATTAACAGATAGATTTATTAAAAGTCAGATTTCCTCAAACTGTTTCAACTGAATCAAAAACATAATTTCAATTTCAATTTTTTGCTTTTTTTTTTTTTTTTCAAAAAAAGATGCTGTAGTGCAAGTGCTTTTACGTACAAATTCTGAGCTTTGCAAAAGAGCTTTACTTCTTATCTACATATGGTTTCAGAGTTGCTGTGTGAATAATTAAGTGGTTGTGTTTTTTGCTGATCATAAAACACCTGCTTTTTTTGTAAACACACACCAAAGGGAAAATTAGCCTTCTTTCTTTTGCTAAAGGGGAACAGTGGTGTCATTGCTCCTTCACTCAGATGTGTGAAGAGATGTGTCTGCGATATAAGCAGCTGCAGTCTAATGCAGAAAAAAACTTGTCAGCCCTTTAAATAAGTTTACTTTTAAAACCTTGAAGCAAAAAACAAATAAAAATACAATTATTCTAGAGTACTACTGATCTTATGATAAAAAGAAATAAGGTAAAGAAGAAAATGTAATGTCTTTTGTAGCATTTGGACAACAATTTTGGACCAAGCATCTTAAACAGAAGGCACCATTTGATGTCCAACAACTGGATGACACAAGCTAAAATGTTTAAATGTTAAACATCATTCATGATATATCATTAATAAATGTAAATTACCCATTTAAAAGTCATCCAGTCAATATGAAGAAAAAAAAAAGCTTAGTATTATTGAAGCATAACGCTCCATATATTTGTCGACAAAATATATGTACCCATTTGGCATACAAATGTCTCTGTTAAATATTAGCATTAAGATTTATACGTTTTATTTATAAAAGCCTTACTTTGAATTAAATCTTTCAAGGCTTTGCATGCATTATAGAAAGGTACTATCCTAATTGTGGCTCAAAACGAGGTTTTAAAAAAGTTAAAGTCATTTATGAAAACGTTTTGAGTGATATCCCATGAAATAAGGTGAATACTAAAATAAAGGCACAGGAAGTAATAAAGGATGGGGGGAAAAAACAGTAAAATCACAGCCATGCAGCTGCAGTAAAAAGAGGGTGAAAGAAAGGATGGCCAAGTACATGGGGAGGAAAGTTTAAGAAAATGCAGAGGTTTTTGAATGGGTACAGCAAAGCAAGTTTATGGGGAAATAAAAGCCAGAGTATAAATAAAAAGCTTATTCAAACAGTCATAGAAACAGGATAAACTAATCAATGGTGCAAAAATAAGCAAAGTATCTAAAAAAAAAATTATTGGATAACATCCAGTCTTAGAAAGACAGCCTTGCAGTGCGTTGTTGATGAAATGGTTGCAGGTTTGAAAGGTAAAAAACAGGGAAACAGGGCTTTCATGCTTGTGCTAGTGTTCTCTGTTCAAGCTGTGACTCACACTGGCAGGCTACACAGATATTTGCCTTCTAAGGGCAGCAGCTCATGGATCTGGGATGTTGAGGATGTTTGCCGGGTGAGCTGTGGAGATACTGCGTCCTCCTCTGCAGAATATGCCGGCTCTTCATCCTCGGGAGGAGACACAACCACCTCCGGGATGCCTTGAGGGCCAGGACCCGTGCAACGGGTTTGTGACAGGCTTAGATTGGAGCGGCGAAAAGATGAAGGGGTGTTTTGAGGGGTGCTGAAGGGAGAGGGGCCAGAAGACAGCCCAGTGTTGGAAGAGGAGGACGGCAGGAGGTGGTTGAGTAGAACGGAGACTCTTGACTCCTGTCTCTGGGACAGGTTGGAGACGGAGGAGGCTGACCCTGGCTTGTGGAGAGAGAGGCGTGAGGATGAAAGGCCCTCTCCTAACAGAGGAGACAATGGCAAAAAAGTAGGGGAGAAGGAAAATATAGAAGGAGGGTAAGGAGAGGATAATGGAATAAGAGATGGAACAGAGAGGAAAACAATATGAGGCTGATGTACACTACAGAGATGGCACCTCAAGGAAACAAAGTGAGAAGGAATGCGAAGCCAGAGCATTGCAAAAGGTGCAACTGGAAAGTGTGGTGCTTGCATAAATGTGTGCTGAAAGGATAGTTGTGTAGAGCAGGCTCTTAGAATGAAACAAAGGGGTGTTAGAAGGTCTGCAAAGAAACATTACAGTAAACTATCAACCAGAGAGATGCACCGAGAAACCAGCTGGGGATGAGAAATCCACTCTTTTCTGATTTTTGGCAATGACCAGAGAATAGCTGGCCAGAAACTTTGATATTTGATAGTTGTTTAATAACTAAACACATTTATTTAATACTTCAATACTACCATGCCAAAAGGTTCACAACAACAATCTTCGTGTGAACTTTGTAACTGAGTGAAGAAGACCTTGGGGAAAACACTTACTGAGAGTGGTCAAGGGCTTCTCTTCAAGAGCTATGAGCTAGTTAGTGCCATTAAGCCGGGCATGCACTGTACGATTTCTTACCCTTTTCGGGCCGATTCTCCAGTCGTGCGAGAATTCTTCGATCCGGCCAACTTTCAGCCTGATCGTGCGCCATCTACTCTACAGGGGGTAACGAGGGGCAATCAGCCTCTCACAACCAACACCCGATTAGGAATAGTGAGGTCGGGAGAAAATCAAACATGTTTGAAATTCAGTCGGCCATCGTGGGCAAATCGCTCAGTGGGCATACGCAAACAAGGACTCCTCTTCTTCTTCTTCTCAGACAAAAACACAGAAGCATGGCGGGTGAAATGGAGTTCTTACTGTAAAATTGACGGACAGTAGTAGGCTACTACTGTCCAAACGTGGCTACTACTAGTAGCCACGTTTGTTCAGCCATGTCTTTGTCCAAATACGTCGTCGCCTTTTCTTTTTAGGGCTTTTAGCACAAAATTCCAAAAATTGCCAAGGCAGCATGTTTTTCACTCTAGTGAGCTTCATATTCCTCTTCTAGATGTTTGGCTTCTGGATAAATGAGTCCGAGTAGTGCCATCTCACTGCGGAGCTGAGTCCGACGTTGTTTTTAGACGTACAGTGTGAGCAGGTAGATCACACTGTACGTCTGCACAGTGTGAGAACATATATCATCATGAGCTGTGAACTCACACTGTACAACGAAACCCTGTGTATTCCCGGGTTTAGCAGATATGTCTCAAATGTGCTGAGACCTTGATAATGGACTCAAACAGCAGATACTGTTTTATAATGCTAAGTTTACACCGGTCACACTTTGGGCAGCAAAAAAGCTTCTTATGCTTAATTTTTGAAGCTTGCACACATTAAGGTCAGAGGTGCGTCAAGAGCACCCTTGATGCTCCTGAAGCACTTCCTGTAAAGTGTGTCCAGATATGTCTGATGCTTCTGCTGCTCCTGTGTTCAATAGCAGAGAGCAGTTTTGGTGTATTTGCTTTGAGAAGTTGGTAAAAAGTGGTTTAATATATATGTAAGCGAAAGAGTCCACCTCAAAACATTGTCTGTGCAGTAAATTCATCAATATAATGCCTTATAATGTTATTTTGACGGTGTACCATCACTGGGAATTCCCAGCAGCAGCTCGGGGGATTCCCCTACTATTTGTCTGAATTAGAGTTTTTCAGGTATGTGGTAAACTGCGGGCACCAGAATAATAAAAGCGAACATCTTTTGCCGGCAGGATTTGACATTTAAGGTAATTTAGGCCTTAATAAACTGTTTCAGAGGAGTAATCATAGCGTCTGTCTCCCTGCCAGCCTGCTCAGACACTCAGAGGCTCCTGAGGATGCTGCTTTGGCTGCTCAGATGCGTCAAGAACTGCTGCTCCTGCTGCTCTAGATTCACTGCAGGACCTTTTGATGCACCTTAATTCGCATCAACCGTTGACTTTGCATGTAAACCAGCTGCTTCTGCTGCTTCAATCACGTGAGGTGTCAAGGTAGCATTAGATACAGCATCTAAACACAGACATGTCCAAAAGGATACCAAACCCAGATGGAGTAAATTGGTTGAATTAAAGTAACCAAGGTGTCTGACACTGATGATGTCTTTTACACTTGAAAGGGAGTTCTTCCTAATAACAGAAATAAGTAATGACCACTCTCAGCAGGAAGGTTAGAAATGTGTAATGATATCTTATGTTATAGTTTTTAAGAAAAAAAAACAAATATTTTAAGATGTCAAACTCAGCTGGAAATATCAGCAGAAATATCTGCTGGTCGGTGCATCTCTATTCTTAATGTATCAGTCAAGCTCTGTGACTGAGATATAGGCAACACTGAGTTTATAAAGGCTTGCATGCTAGAGAGGATGAGTTAACAGGATGTCCGTGCACAGTAAGCAATAAAGTGCTCTCCCACACACAGGCCATTTATTAATGCCAAAAGATGCATGTTTATTTGCTCAAACACCTTTCACACAGCAACCAATGCCATTACCAAACTTTAATGGAACATATATAACTCTCAACTTTCAAGATTATATGAAATGCAAGTTAAGTGAAAACTTCAGGCAGAGCAGTGAAGCATCTCACTCAATATTAAAATTCCAAGCTCATCAATCAACAAACCACAAATATACACCATGTGTGGTCGTGCAAAAAGCATAATAACTAGAATAACACCTTGAAGATAAAAATAAAAAAGTAAGTTAAACCCTGAAGACAGGCCAGCCATACAGGTTAGCACAAATTTTAGCACCCAAATTTCTCTTCCACTCAGGGGACTGACATTTCATTTCTAAAATTTACTCACTTTTACCATCCACCTCCTATGCTGGCAGTGAGGGATTTGAACAGTGGACTTTTAAGTACAGTTCCCCAGTGGTTGAATATATGGAAGAGCAAGAAATGTGAGTGCGCTGCAGGATCTCACCGTTTCTTTCAAGCAAGAGTGGGTCAGAGTGTTTCTTGCCTATGTCAGCAATGGAGCGCACCAGAGGGATGCGATTGCTGAGCTTCCTCTCATTCTGATGGTGGTGTTTCTTCAACATTGCTTCCCGGACCTTGTCGCGCAGGTCCTCTTTCAACTGCCCAGATGCCACCATGTTGTCTATGACCATGTCTGGAATATGAAGGATTATACAATATAAACACCACAGTTTTGGTATAAAAGACTGGTCATACAGCAAACAACTTCATTAAACCTTAAAAAGAAGAGCGAGGTGCAGGAAACTACAAAATTCTGTGTTTTCTATGACTGTCACAAGGTCATAATCATAAATGCAACCTCAAATACATACCGTCATGAAAAAAAATAATAACTCACTCTGTTAAAAAGAAAAATGTGATCAAATCATTATTTTCATGACTATATATAAAAGCTTCAGGCATTATTTCTGTTGGATTGACAGTTATTAAGCATTCTCCATGCATTTTAAAAAATAAAATAAACTTATTAGTAAGGTTAGGAATTTTCCAAGGAAATAACTTCTATAATGGGTTATGACTTCAGACTCTCAGGACCATTTAGACCAAAAATCAAACAGCAGTTTGAAACCCCTCTTGATTTATGTATCGGTATGATTGTTATCAATTCTTCAACTTAAATCAACAGCTAGAGGGATGAAACTTGGACAGAAGTACGTTTTCCAAGTGTACAGCTCACTTTAAGTTAAATTAATGACAGTTGTTCACAATGTTTACATTCCTGCTCACTGCCACGAGGAAAGCACATTTGTAAAAGCAGCACAGACAGTAAGGGGGCTTAATGTCCCTGCTAAGAGCATCCCAGAAACCTGTTGATGACAACCAAAATCAGGTGTATATATTTTACACTTATATTTTACACTTAAATGTTTAGAAACACTTTAGCAGTAAATTCAAATTCATTATTTTCATTTTTATGTTAATTCCTAGACCTTTCAATTCTCAAAAAAAAAAGATAAAACCCTAAAGATCGACGCTGTTTATTTGATCCAGTGGAGCGAGGACTGTTCAGACTCCTGTACTGTAGAAACCAAACAACTACAGGAACGCATGGTACAGCATTAGAGAGGCAGTAGCTCTTGCAAACATTAGGCTGTACAATTGCACCTCTAGAACAAAGAATACATCGACCAAATGTTGGTCAGTATATTCTTGACGACCAAACTGTTTAGAATTTCAACAAAGAGGAGACGGTTTGAAAGAGGGTTGAAAGAAGCCATCTTTGTTAAAATGAAAAAGCAAGCACTGAACAGAGTGGGAGGATTGTGGTTTCATCTTCCAAGCATCAACATTTCTGTCATGGAACTCATTCCAAACAAATTACATAAGCACTCATCATGATTCAAATGGCCTAAGTTCTCTCAGCGCTCCATCTATAGATTGTTCTAGTGCCAGCCCTCAGGATTGACAAAGACTCCTAGATAGGTGTTGAAGTGTCTTCAGAAAAACTGAGCAGAGTCCAGTTGCCTTTTATTTAAGCCTGTTTGGTGGTTGTAAAACTCTAAATTAATTTAAAAAAAATCATACCCATGGTGAGTTTATGTAATCTTTGTGTTTGCCCCAAATCTTTGTGTATATTTCACACTGATAGTAATAATCTGGTCTCCTATTGGCTAAAGAGAGGGATTTTTGTGAGTTGTGTGCAATTTACCTGCTATTTCCTCAATACTGTTGGCTCTCATATCCAGCATGACTGTGCCGTTTAGTATGCAGCTGCGTAGTTCAAATAAGCTGTGTAGCGATAATGTGGCCACGTAGGGCTTACTCCATCTCTCTCCACCGTCTTCCACATCCTCTTCAAATTTCAACCATCTGACACAGACAGAAAGAATGTTTTACATGTAGGACAGAAAAGGGAGCTGGATTTGAAACATACTAATTAGTCTACAGTGTTCTTGTCACAGCTAACTACATATTTTAGCTTTGACAGACTCCATTTGAGAGAACGCACAGTCTAAAAGAAGCAGAGCAAACTGGATGACTCATACTCCAAATCTGTCACTAATTCAACACGTTTCTGTGTTGGAAAACAATCTCTAAGATGCCAGACAAGGAAAGTCACTAATTCCAATTCCAACTCCCAGAGGTTTGGAAAAGCAAACCTACGACCTGAAGCTGAGCCTGAGCTTTGCAGTAATCTAGGGAAGAAAACTGAGGAATAAGAACTCTTAATATGAAATAGAGTCAATTTATAATGAATTGAAAATACTTCAAGTTTTGTATTACATTAAGTTGAGCAGCTTCGAACCAAAATTTTTTAGCAAACCTCATTAAATTACAAAGAAAACAAAAACAAATGTTCATAAAGCCAACAGATGAATATGTAACAACAGATGTCCTTTTACATTTCTTTAATTAATGGTGGGAGTCCTTAACCTATACATGCTTATATTGTTATTGTTACCTGGCAGTCTCTCTCCACTCAGTTGCCCCACCATGCCTAGAGGACAGCTCATCCAGCTCAGTGAAGAGGTCATGTGGGATGTGTTCAAGGTCATCATCTTCTGTTCCTAGAATGAACTGGACCCTCTGTGAAGGAGTATCTGGAGACAGTAAGATTCATACTTATTACGACAAGAAGCAATATCAATACGATCAAGAAAATCTCATAAATGTAGTCAAGATAACAAACATAACTTGTTTAATTGTGTTTCATCAAATATGCACCATATATGTGTATTGTGCTTTTCCTGAAAGACATCTGTTTGTGTGGGGTGTGGTGTTTTCAGTCACAAGCACCAGCAGCTCACCATTTGGCCGTGCTCCTAGCCAGCATTTAGCCACCATGCTAAATCAGATACCCAACAGCTTAGACACTAACCTACTGTAGCTCTTTAATTTCACAAACTGTTAACCAGTCTATAAGATTCTCTTAATCAGTCTGTCCCTAAACACTGACCGCTTCAGTTATACAACTACAGTCAGGTTGGAGCCGAGTCATGGCTTCCAACTGATTAACCCACTGCTTTGTCTGTGAATCAGATGATGAAGCTAGTTAAGTGGGTTTGAAGCTATTTTAGCTTCGCCAAACAGGCTCAAAGTCTCGCTTAAAGGTATAGTGTTTTTTTCGTACATTTTTTAAAAGACCCGCCCTCTCCACTAAAAGAAAAAAAATTCACATGAACAACCCTATAGCCGCTCCCGAGACGGAACGGCAATTAAACGTGTACGAGAGCATGCATGAGCCCATTTGTCCTCGGGCTCTTTTTAAAAGTTGCTGTTTGCATCGCTGATACAAGCTTGCTTTTTAAAAGAAAATCTGCAATTTGTCCACTATGTCAGACTCACCACCGATAAATGAAAATAGGGACAAGCACAAAGGTTGGCCTTACGTAAACATATCTCCGGAATGACTGACAATTAGGAGGACCACTTATTTTGATAATCCACCAAGAAAAATAACATCCTCCACTATGTCTTTAAGATGAGGAAGCGAGAACAATATATGGGTGATGTTATGATGTCTTGATCCATAGTACATAAGTGAATTTTGTATTAAGGACAAGGATTGTTTTATTGATAAAAATACCTTTCCATTATTCGACTTGAATCGAGCAGTGAATGGAGCACAGCATAAGTAGCCAGTTTACATACACTGAACAAACAAACACCAACATTTCTCATAGACACCCAGTCAGGCCAAAAAAATCAGTAGCGGTATATGTGCCACTCTTTGAAAACTGAGGTGCTAGTCAAATGAAGATTGTTTTGCACTTCAGAGAAATTTTAACTATTTTACTGGCATATTACTTGTTGCTTTGTTGCTTTTGAAGATTTACAGCTCTGGACAGCTGAGAAAAAAAAAGAAACTTGCCGCCACTTTCCAAACGAGATGCTTACACACATGACTTAAAATGCCAGGACCATATATTTGTACTTTATAAGCACTTTTGTGGAATAATCTACTTTTTTCTGCCATGTTTAACAGTTACTGGGCAGCATATTTTTTGGTATTGCAGTACAATGTATGTGAACATTGTAAACTATTTTGAGCTGTTTTATTCACATGGATTGAACCTAATCTTATCCCAAATACTTCCCCTGCCATGTAATCCCCTTCAGTTGGAATAGTTAGCTGTAAACTAGGTAAATGAGAAATCTTAAACTCTGTACATCATGATATTATTCCAAACAATGATGATTATTATGGGTAATGTGAAATCCTTTGCAAAAAAGTAGAACACCAAGTCCTAGCAAGGATCAGGCCAGAATATTGGCAATGCACTATTATGTGTTTTAATAAAGTATCGCTGCAGGACAATATCCCTGACTTCGGGGTCTCTCTGCCAGGCTTTCGGACCATGATTTAAAGAAGCAGAGATATTTAAAGAAGGCTGAAA